ATCTTGTGCTTTTAAACTCACGTTCTCTCTTTCTTTTTCTTTCTCTCTCTCTTTCTCTCTTGTTACTTACTGACTCTATATCTCCCTCACCATTACACATAAGCAAACTTCAAAACACAAGCACAGAAAAGCATGCACACACACACACACACACACACACACACACACACACACACACACACACACACACACACACACACACACACACACACACACACTCCAATACACACACACACACACGCTTACAAACACTCCCACAAACCCCAAGCAAACACAGACGCACAAACCCAAAGCAAGCAAGCACACGCAGGCCCTTTCAGCAAGCAGTTACATTCACCCCTGGTTATTCTTATCTCAGATTAAGAGTTGATTGCAGTTTATCACTCAAAGCCGCCGTCGAGGAAAAGGGGGAGGGCATGGGAGGGGGGAGAGGGCATGGGGAAAGGGGGAAGAGGACATAGGGGAGAGAATCGGGGGGAGAGGGGAAGAGGACATGGGGAGAGGGGGGAAGAGGACATAGGGGAGAGAATCGGGGGGAGGGGGCATGAGGAGGGGGACGTAGGGTATGGGGAGGACATGGGGAGGGGGAAAGGGGTGGAAGAGGGGGGGGTAAGGGGAAGGACATGGGGCAGAGGGGAGAGCATGGGGGGAGGGGCATGAGGAAGGGGTGGGGGAGGGCATGAGTAAGAAGGAGAGGCATGGGGAAGGAAGGTGGATGGGGGAGGGGGATATCGGGCGAGAAAGAGGAGGAGAAGAAGAAGGAGAAAGAGAAGGAGGAGGAGGAGGAGGAGGAGGAGGAGGATGAAGAGGAGAAGAAGGAGGAGGAGGAGGAGGAGGAGAAGGAGGAGAAGGAGGAGAAGAAGGAGGAGGAGGAGGAGGAGGAGGAGGAGGAGGAGGAGGAGGAGGAGGAGGAGGAATAGGAGGAGGAAGAAGAAGAAGAGGGGTGAAAGGAAGACAGGAGAAGAGGAGGAGTCGAAGGGAGAAAGGAAAATGAGGCGAGGAGGAGGAAAAGGGGAAAAGTTTAAATGGAGAAAAAAAGAGGAAGAGGTTTATAAGTACTAGAAGAAGGAAAGAGAGCGGAGATGGAAGAAAAAGAAGAGAAACGCGTTAGAAGAGGAAGGGGAAGAGGAGGAGGAGGAGGAGGGGAGAGGAGGGGAGAGAAGAGGAAGAAGACGGTAGAGAAGGAGGAAGCAGAGGATGAAGAAAAGGAAGATCAGAAAGAGGAGGGGAGGACTGGGAGGAGCGACGTGGCAGGATGTGGCCTACGCGAGGTCTGCAGTGTTGATACAACCTCCTCCCCCCCCTCCCCCTCCCCCATCCCAATCTCGCTCTCTCCCTCCCCCCTTTCTCCCCCCTCCCATCCCAACGTCGCTCTCTCCCTCCCCCCTTTCTCCCCCCTCCCCCATCCCAATCTCGCTCTCTCCCTCCCCCTTTTCTCCCCCCCCCATCCCAACGTCGCTCTCTCCCTCCCCCCTTTTCTCCCCCCCCCCATCCCAACGTCGCTCTCTCCCTCCCCCCTTTCTCCCCCACCCCTGCTCCTCCCTGCTTTTCTCTCATCCTCCTCCCCACTCCTTTCTCAGGAATTCAGCTCTCCTCTCTCCACGATTCCGCCGTTCTCGCTGACGGGCGGGAACGCTCTCCTCTTCCTCCTTAATTCCTTTTCAGACTGACCATTCGCTTGTATTTTTTTCCCTTCCATCTTTTCCTTTCTCCCTTCTTCATCTCCTCACTTTCTCCCTCCTCCTTCACCTACTCCTTTCTCCTTTTTCATTTTTTTCTTTATCTATCTCCTCACTCATTCCCTCCTTCTCCTTCTCCCTTTCCTTCTACTTCTCCCTCCTCCATCTTCTCACTCACTCCCTCCTTCTCCTTCTCCTTTCTTCTCCTTTCTCCCTTCTCCATCTCCTCCCTCCCACCCTTCCCTCCTCTACGTGTCGAAACAACACAACCACCAATCCGCCCCAGCCTTTAACAAAAAATATATATATAAATAAAAATAAGTAAACAAATAAATAAACAAATGAATAAATAAATAACTGAAAATCAAGGGGACATACAACTGGATTTCGCCCCGACACACGCCCGGCGGAAGGCAAGCGGGCAGGGCAGGGGTCCGCCTCGCAAAGGGGTGGTGGCGGGAAGGGAGATAAGAAAAGTGGAGGAGAAAAGAGGAAGAGAAAGAGAGAGAAGATTGTACGACTATTTTCTGATAAAGAATGTTCTTCAGATTTACCCTTGAGTGTAGGCGTTTGTGCACGTTTCTTTTTTTTATGATTGCCTATGTACTATTTATTTATCTATCTATCTTTCGGTGTATGTGTGTGCGTATTTTTGTGTGTGTGTGCGTGGAGTAGGACGATGGACGAAGGAGGGAGAAGGGAGGAAGGAAGAAGAGAGGAAGGGACGGAGGGAGGGAGGAGAAAAGAAGGGAAGAAGGGAGGAATGGAGGGAGGGGTGGGAGGATGGCGGGAGGAGGAGAGAGAAGGGGGAAGGGGAGGGGGAAGGGAGGTTAAGGTTAATAAGATATAATTATATGACTTCCGGGTTAAGCAAACATTAGGCTGTGGTAGCGGCAGTGTCGGCAGGTGACATACTGTATGTCTATAACACGCCCCCCCTCCTCTTCTTCCTTGCAATTTCTCCTAACACTTCCACTTCTATTTTTTCTCTCTTTTTCTTCTTCGTCCTTATTCCTCCCTTGCAGTTTTCTCCATCTTGTTTACGCACTTGCCGCAATGGCTAAAACTTACGGCCCCGACGGCCAAGAACATGACTCATGCCTCAAAATTATCGGTGACAGGAAGGGAAGGCAACGGCCGAACTTCTAAAAACTATTCTCGTAGCGTTTCATTCAATCCTGTTATCGCCATCTTTATCGCGTTCCATCCATCTTTATCGTTTCTCCTTCGCAGAACACACCCGCGCAAAAACACAACAAAACACGACAAAGACACAATAACCGCAAAGAGACAACGACCCGCAAACGAGTCATCGCGCAAAAATACAACAAAACAAAAACATAATAACCGCAAAGAGACAAGCCATCGTGCAAGAAAAGAAAAGAAAGAAAGAAAGAAAAAGAATGTAAGAATGAAAGAAAGAAAGAAAGTAAGAAAGAAAAGAGAAAGAAAAAAAGAAAAAGAAATAAATAAAGAAAAAAAAGAAAGAAAAGAGAAAGAATGAAAGAAAGAAAAGAAAAGGAAAGAAAAGAAAAAAGAAAGAAAAGAAAAAGAAAAAAAGACAGGAAAAAGAGAGAAAGAAGAAAAGCAAAACACCAACCGCAAAGAGACAACGACCGCCAGCAAGCCATCGCATCGGCGGGACGACGACCCTGCGACCCGAAACGACACGATAGGACGACAGTGACCGAGTGCGCCCCTTAGGCTCTATCCTGACCACCACCTCCGCCGCTGGGTGAGGTCACTGACATCACCCAGGCCGAGGTGATGTCATTCCTCCACTAAGCCCACCGCGCGACGTAGGTGTGGTGTCATCACATCCTCACTTAATCCTACCCACGATGGGGGGGGGGGGGAGATGGGTAGGGGCAAGGAGGGGGAAGGGAGGGGAGGGTGGAATGGGTAGGGGGCAAGAAGGGGAAGGGGAAGGGGAAGGGAGAGGGGGAGGATGAGGGGAAGGGGAAGAGGTTAAGGGGTGGGAAGGGGAAGAGGGAGGGAGGTGGAAAGGGGAGGGGAAGGGGAAGGAGGGAGGGGCATGGGAAGGGAAATGGGGAAAAAGAAAGGGAGGAGGGGGGGGCATGGGAAAGAGAAAGGAGAGAGGGAGAGAGAGAGAGAGTGGGGGGGGGGAGGATCTGGTACGCTCATCACTCGTGCGATGTGGTGATGTGATGTTTTCGCCTCCTACATATAAGCCTAAGCTGATCAAGTCACTACATATTTATATTTAGGGAAAAAAAATGGAAAATACACTAATTGGTCGCGCTTGTTCCGTCGGATGCACGTTCACCAATAACATGCTTCGATAACATTTTCCCGGGCTCTTTCACTCTTGTAATCATTAATTGCACATCAATAATTAAATTTATCGATCCTTTAATATTACAGAAAATAAATGTTGGGTCTTCACTAAGAAATCTTCGCGAAATTCTCACTATACGATGACGATAACTCAGAACATGATAACTAAAGAATTAGTGATAAAAAGAGGAGAAGGTAGAGGTGACGGTGACGAGGACGACGACGATGATAATGATGATAATGACGACCAAGATGATGCTGTGGAGGGTGCAATGACACCATTCGAGTGTTTCTTCCAAATTCACCTGAGTTACGGCCAAGAAAAATACCAAGTTTTAATGATTGGCGTTTCCCATACGTTCTAAACGGATACAAACTTGTATCAAGCATACCGAACCCTAGAAAATAAATTCACATGCGGTCCTCAAGTCAATATTATTCTCAACCAATTGTTTACGAAAACAAAACTCGGACCGATCATACGCTAAACAACAACAACAATAACAATTATAACAAAACAGAAAATAAGCTCACGAGAGAAAACGACCAGGAAAAGGTGCACAAGCGGCACCTGACAGGAGGCCTCGTAAGTGGCATAAATAATGGAAAGAACGAAGACAATAGCGCGACAGAGGAAGCGTCTTTGGGTGGATGGAGTGGGGGGTGGAGGGGGACATGAGACGGGATGACGCGCTAAGCGTAGAGAAAAAGGAAGATGATGAAATATAATAGAATGAAAAAAGGTGTACTGGTGAGAGACGAAGAACAAGAGGAAAACCCGAAGAAGAGTGGCACATCACAAAAAAAGAAGGAAAATAACAAACCAGAAAATGAAGATTAATGGTACATCACAAAAACATAAAGGAATGCCGAGCCACACACACGAAAAAAAAGAAAAGAATAACGAGTGATAAACCTCAAAACACAAAAAGAGGAACGATACAACACAAAATATGGAGGAAGAGAAAAATCACAAACTACTTACAAAAAATAAGTTCACAAATAAAACCCCCCTGAGTAGATGCGACAAAAGGAAGGAGAGGACGAGAGGACGAGAGGGAGAAAAGAACAAGGTCACAGCATCCCGCCTGCTGAGTGACGCAGGTGAGGCTGCACTGTGTCACAGGTAAGTGGATGACGAGTAAATAAAAAGTGGGTGACTAAAGGAAACAAAAACAAAGCTAACGAAAATAACAATATTAAATATGATAAGAACAACAGTAGCAGTAAAATGCTTCATAAAACACGAGGAGTAAATTGTTATCTTATCAAATATAATAACGCCAAAGAACAGACATATCTGAAAAAAAAACACTTTAAAATAAGCTATCTATTTTTTTTCCTTCGTGAATCATACATCAAGTTAAAATATCCAAGTCACACGGGTCAAATGTCAAGGAATTCCACATACGTCGGGACGCATTACCACCCTCTATCACCACTCCTTCATCCCCCCACCCGCACCCCCGCCCACCCGACACACGCCCACCTACGCCCACATCCTCTGAGGACGATTTCGCGAAGGGCGGCGCGGCGACAGCGGGTTTCCGTCCGCCGCCGCTCGTTCCCTCGGCGACGTATCCTGCTATGACAAACCTGCACACACACACACACACACACACACACACACACACACACACACATACACACACACACACACACACACACACACACGATCTTACACATCAACACACATACAAGGCGAGTTGTGGCTTGAGGCTGAGGTTACCTCTGCCCCTCCTTCCCCTCGCCCCCGTTTGCCTCCCCCCCCCCGGCCTTCCCCTTGGACACGGTACACTGCCAGGTCACGTGATACTGTAGTACTCGCTCCGTCCACGTGAGAGTCACCGTACTCGTCTGGCGTTCCAGGACACTCGCACTCTTCACAACACTCACGGCCGCACTCACCCACGTCCTCCATGAATAAACATACGCACATTTCTGCGACAAGCACAGGAAATGTCGTAAGCGATCAACGCTTTTTAAGGTCGGTTTATTATGACCACATAAACACTTGGTGTCCTCAGGTGCTGTGGTAAGATCCTGAATTTGGACGCAATCATCCTGTTTTTTTTCTTTCTCTCTCTCTTTCTTATTCTCTTTTTACAATGCTGCGTTACTCCATGTACGAAGAAGAGAAAAAACTGTTTTAAAAATGTTTAAAGATAATTAAAAGTAAAAAAGTCAACAGTTTAGGGAACAAACTAAGGCACAGAGCAAAAGCTTTCTAAATCTATAGAGAAATCTAGAAACTTTATGGGAACACGCAGGCGCACACAAATCTAAAAGGCATCATAATATCATGTAAGGTTCGAAAAAGTTTTAAGCCTGAAGCTTTACGAGTAAAGAAAACGGCGTAAAAAGCATATGGATTAAAAATCACTTTACCATCACAGCCGTTCAAGGATGCATAAATGACAGGTTGTTAACAAAGGGAACAATAGTACACACAATGACTAGCGCGATGCTCGATACAAAAAACACAAGAAAAAATCCAAGCGCAGCTGACAAAGAAATCCAAGATGGCCGAGCAGTCTGCCCGATCTGCGTAATGCGTAATGAATACGGATGCGCAGACGTTTATTTAGCAGCATCAAACAAGACAATTTACTCTGTGAGAGCGCGAGTGAATATCACACAAAGCCCCGGGCGCCTCAAGCACACAAACGAGCGGCTCGAGTGCAAGCACAAGGCTCGGGTCCCACAAGACCGACCTGGAGGAACAGATGACGGACTCTTAGCGATGGTCCTGGAGGCGGGGATGGACCTTGGCCGCCTCTTCGCCGCCCCGGTGTCTGGGGGCCTGGCCGTAGTGGCGGAGGGGGGCGTGGCAGAAGTGGCAGTGGGAGGCGTGGCTGTGGCGGCGGGGGGGGTCCTGGCTGGTCTCGCTTTCGCGACGCCACTCACTCCACGCGCCGCGGCCGCGCCACCGGAGGCGCTGTTCGTCTTTTTCTTCGTGGTGTCCGCGACGGCCTTCTTCGGGGCAGCCGCTGTTCCCCACGCCCGTCCCGCCACGCCCTTGCTGCCGCTCTCCCCATGGCTGGAGGGAATTCTCCCACGGGAATGCGTGGTCCTTGCTCGTTCTCCGACTCCTTCTGAAGGCGCAGATGTCTTTCTGACAGGAGGGGTGACGCTGGCTCTCCTGGGCGAGGGGGTGACAGAAGTCTTATTAGCAGGAGTGGGGCGGGCCCTCGCCTGGGGGGTAGGGCGAGGGGCCGGGGTCGAGGACGATTTCTTCTTGTCGCGTTCTGGAAGGTTTCTTCTGGTGCTGCCTGCAGCGGTTCTCTCTGTAGCGCCTGGAGTGACCCTAGTGCTGGTTCCTGACGAAGGCAAGGAACGCGACGGAGCTGCGGCGGCGGAGGGTGCGACTTTCTTTCTTCTGGAGGAGGTCGCACACGCTCCTCCTCTCCCTTGGTTTCTTTTCTTTCCTTTCTCTCCGTCTTCTCTTTCGCAATCGACAGTTGCTATTGCTTCTCCTTCCTCTCTCCCGCATTTTTCTCCACCTTCTTTTGTTCCTTCCTCT